TGCACCATCTCACATTTGGTGGAAGGTCATATCTTCCCCTCTTTCCAAAGAACTGAGACAAAAGGATAATGTTCTATTTATGCCCATTTGAATGGACGGTGAAACAAAGGCCAGCAGATTGGCAAAGTGGTCCAAGTGTCCAGGAAGAAAACACATCATCACATCGAACGAGTGTAGCGGGGGGGAAAGGCTAACGACACAATTGTCCATGTGGGCATCCACTCCAGCAAGGTGGGTATCACCAGGCAACGCTGGACAAGGACCACAAGAAGATCCTGGCAAGGAAAGCTAAGTCCCCACAAGGAGGACAGGAGAAGGGCAAATAGAAGAAATGATGAAGAAGATGCAGGAGTAGACTCAGTCCATCCACAACTTTCATTAAAGATTGCTTAAGTAAAAAGAAAAGAAAGTATCAGAGGAGGCCCTATTGTGTGTGAGGCCCCCCACCTCAGACATCAGAAAACAGAGCTCCATCCGAACACAGCACTCAGGACGGACTGTGAGAACAGAAAGGCAGAGTTACCCAGAGACCCGGGGAAGGGAGCCAGTTGTGAGCCAGCAAGCATGTGCAGTGTGCCCCACGCCCCAACTGCAGTCACAGGAGCCTGGCAGTGGGGGAGGAAGTAAGAAGTGCCACAGGGAGAAAAAGCCCTGTGAAAACAGGGCCGTGCCCCTGTCCCCGGACACAGTATGTCACTACATACCCCCAGCTTCATCTCCCTGCCCCCTTCTTCCTACTACAGACACTAGAGCCCAGAGCCAGTCCTTCCCGCCTGCTCCCCAAAGCCCAGAACATCTCTCAGAGGCCTCTGGTCATCAAGGCTGAAGACCAATGCAGACATGAGTGTGGGGGACACAGCTCCTTCCCAAGAACCCCCATACCCAACTCCATACAGGAGCAGGAAGGATGCCACACAGGCCTGGGTCAGCTCCGGGGCCATTCTATAGGTTACCGAGCACCAAGCACTGTTGGTGATTCCACAGCTACATCTGGGGTCTATGGAGTGCAGCCCCAATAACAGGTGGAGGACCAGTGTCCTGGCCCCTCTTCTATATACATAACCTGCTAGGTTATCCATGGGAATGAAGCCCCCCACCACCATGACACAGCCCAGGACCTCAGAGAGCCATCCACCCCTGAGTTCCAGCCTCCAACTTGCAGCTGGCCTGCTGTGTGGCTTCCAGGAACTGAAGAGCCTCTCTGAGCCTCCAAGATTACTATATCTGTAAAGCTGAACTGCTCCTGGCACCTCCTAACAGCCCTAGCTCTAGTCTGTGTCAGTCTGCCTCCCCTGGTGGTTAAGAGGCTGAACTGCAGGTGTGTGCCCCATGCCCCAACTCTGAGGCTTAACTGTTGGTTAAGACTGGGGAAGGGGGGAGGGGCAGCTAGGTTGGCCCAGGCCCCTCTAAGTTTTGTGTCCTTAATACGAGAGAAGTCCTGGAGCGCCAGGGCCACACGCCTATGTTATTATTGCTGTGATGAAGCACCATGATCAAAGTGACGTGAGGAGGAAAGGCTTTATTGCCTTACATTTCTACACCCATAGTCCATCACTGAAGTCAAGACAGGAACTCGAACGGGGCAGAGACCTGGAGGCAGGAGCTGATGCAGAGGCCATGGAGGGGTGCTGCTTACTGGCTTGCTCCTCATGGCTTGCTTTCTTATAGAACCCAGGACCACCAGCTGAAGGATAGCACCGCCCACCATGGGCTGCCCACCCCCCCATCAATCACTAACTAAGAAAATGCCTACAGCCAGGTGGTAGGGGCACGTGTCTTTAATTTTAGCATTTGGGATGCAGAGACAGACAAATCTGAGTTTGAAGCCAGCCTGGCCTACAGAGTAAATTCCAGGGACTGACAGCCAGGGCTACACAGAGAAACCCTGTCTTATAAAACAAAGCAACAACAACAGGTAGAAAGGGAGGGAGGGAGGGAGGGAAGAAGGAAGGGAGAAAGAAAGAAGGAAGGGAAGAAGACAGAAGGAAAGACAGAAGAGCGAGCCTTACAGGCTTGCCTACAGCCCGATCTCATGGAGGCTTTTTTTAACTTCTCTTTTCTTTTTTGGAGAGCTGTGTGGAGATTTCGAGATGCTTTGTAGAGCTCTGGCTACCCTGTAGCCTACTCTGTAGACCAGGCAACTTTAAAACTCAAGAGATCTACCTGCTTTTGCTTCCCAAGTGCTGGGATTAAAAGTGTGCACCACCGGGCACGTCACGGAGACATTCTCAACTGGAGTTCCCTCCTCTCAGGTGAACGTAGCTCGGCTTAGGTGTGGGCCATAAAACTATCTACCACAACTGACCCACTTGACACACAGACACTTCACTGTAAAGCCTCAACCTTTCCTCTCTCGCTCATCTCCAAGACCATACATGGATAGAAACATCACAATATAAAACATTTTAGAATGAAAAAAAGGTCCCATAGCCTTTACAAATTCAAACACTTTTAAAAAAATCAATCTCTCTCTCTTTTTTTTAAATCCAGCCTCTTTTAAAAGTCCAAAGTCTCTTTTAAAATTGAAAGTCTCTCAATTGTGGACTCCTATAAAATAAAATTAAAAAAATAAGTTAAATACTTTCTTATTTCAAAAGGGAATGTACAGTCTCAATCAGATTAAAGTAAAACCAAACTCCAACAGTGTAAATAACTCAAGGTCCAATATCCGAAACTCACTCACTGTATTCTGGGCTCCTCCAAAGGGCTTGGGGGTCACTTCTCCATCCTCACCGTCTACGGCACACACAGCGTGTTGTCCTCTGGGCTCTGACCAGCTCCACTCCATGGCTGCTGCTGTTCTCGGAGGTCATCCCACAGTGCTGGGGTCTTCTGCTGCCCCACTTTCACCAATAGCCTCTCACAGGCTCTCTTCATGGTGCCAAGCCTCAACTTCTTTGCATGACCCTTTCAGTCCTGGGCCGTCAACTGCCACCAAGGCTGAACCTTCCCCAATGGCTTCCCTTGGTGTCTCACAGTGCCGAGCCTCAGCTGCTCTCTATGAGCCCTTCAGGTCTTTAAAACCAGTACCACCTGGGTGACTCTTACATATGACCAAGTTTAGCACCAGGTACAATCTTGACTGCCTCTAGAACACAAACAGCTTCAGATTTCACCTCAGAGCTGCTGGCCTCTCTTTAATCCAAGCTGATTCTTCAGCCGCAGTTGACCAGCGTCCAGCGTCCACGAAAAGCAAAGGTGTGTTACTATAGTGTTTGTTACCTTGTAAATCACAGTTGATCCTTCAGCCCCAGCTGACCAGAACCAGGGATTCTTAACCCAAGATAGCAACTGTCTCTGATAGAGTCATTAAGGGAGACCCAGTCTTCTGAGATTTCAGCCGGGTGCCCGTTGCCTGGACTGTGCTTAACATTCTTCTCTTCCAAGCTCCCACAGAACAGCTCACTGAGATCTCAACAACACTCGATAGCTTTTCTAGCCCAAAGTTCCAAAGTCCTTAAACAATCCTCCCCCAAATACATGTCTGATCTGTCACAGCACAACTGGTACTAATTCCCGTCCTAGTTAGGGTTATCGTTGCTGTGATGAAACACCACGACCAACGCTACTTGGGGAGGAAAGGGTTTATTTGGATTACACTTCCACAGCACTGTTCATCATTGAAAGAAATCAGGACAGGAACCAGAACAGGGCAGGAACCTGGAGGCAGGAGTTGATACAGAGGCCATGAAGGAGCGCTGCTTACTGGCTTGCTCAGCCTGCTTTCTTATAGAACTCAGGACCACAAGATGAGTGATGGTTCCACCCACAGCGGGCTGACGATCCGGTCAATCACTAATCAAGAAAATGCCTTAAGGCTGAATGGTGGTGCTCACCTTTAAGCACTCAGGAGGCAAAGGCAGAGGAATCTGAGTTCCAGACCAGCCTGGTCTTTGAGGTGAGTTCCAGGACAGCCTGGTCTTCGAGGTGAGTTCCAGGACAGCCAGAGCTGCACAAAGAAACCTTGTCTCAAAGAACAAAAACAACAACAAAGAGAAAGAAAAAGGAAATGCCCTACAGGCTTCCCTATGACCCTTCTGATGGAGTCATTTTCTTAACTGTGGCTCCCTCTTCTCAGATGGCTGTAGCTGTGTCAAGTTGAGGTAAGACTAGCCAGCCCACTGCCACAACCAGCCACTTTGCTATTCCCTAGCCCTGCCTATCTGTGGCATGACTCCCCCAAGCCTCTCTTACCCAACTGGTCTTTCGAGGTTGCAGAGCATAGCCCAGCGTTGAGAAGACACACCCTTGCAACTGCCAACTCTATCAACCTATCAACCCTAGGTATCTTCCACCCCAGGCCCAGAGGTCACCCATGTCCATGGTACAGACCCAGGCCATGGGGGTATAGTTACTATAGTCTCCACTCTGTCCTTCTTTCTGTATGCACAGCCAGGAAGCAAGAAACATGTCCAGAGAGGACTGCGGTTAGCTTCAGTTGCTAACTGAACACAGTCCAGAGTCACCTGGGAAGAGTCTCAGTGAGGAACTGTTGTAGACCAGGTTGGTCTGCAGGGACGTCTCGATCGCCTCAATTGAAATGGGAAGACCCAGCCTGAAAGTGAGTAGCACCATCTTGGGTTGGAACCTGAATTATCTAAAAGCAAACTGATCCAGGCAGTGGTGCCACACGCCTTTGATCCCGGCACTCAGGAGGCAGGGGCAGGAGGATCTCTGAATTCAAGGTCTACAAAGTGAGTTCCAGGACAGCCAGAGCTACACAGAGAGACCCTGTCTTGATCATCACCTCCCCCCCCAAAAAAAAAAACTGAGCACCAAGTGTGCACACATTCATTTCTCTGTTTTTGACTGTGGATGTGATGTGACCAGTGGTCAAGGCCTGGTCACTGTGACTTCCCTCAGTGACACACTGTAACTAGGAACCAGGAGCTAAAACAAACTCTTCCCCCTTTATCTGCCTTGCTAGGATGCTTTATGATGGCGACACAAAAGCAGCTAAGACAGAAAATGAGTGCCCACCCAAAGCACCTGACACACGCTCAGGGCTGGTACACAGGCACCCGGCCCCTGGCACAGTGATATATACAGGCCAATGAGGGAGGGTCAGTGTCTTTATTGAGGTTACGAGGACCCAGAGTGGGAAGCATGGGCCCTGGTACCCCAAGCCTCCCTCCTGGAGCCACAGCACCAGTCTCTTCCTGAGAAGGGCCGGGCCCTAGTGGAGCCATACGCAGCTCAGGCCTGCCCACTTTTGCTCTTCGAGGACCAGATCTTGGACAAGAAGGACTTGGACTTCTTCCTCTGGAGGCCTGAGGGGAGGACAAAGCCATGAAGCTCCTGTGAGGATCCAGTGTCTCCTTCCCTGCCACCTGTGGGGCCACCCCTCCCACAGGAGGCCTACCACCCCCCAGGCTGGGAAGACCGTCCTCCTTGCCCCGACTGTGCCCCATAGTTACCCAGGTTCTGGATCATACTCTCCAGCATTTGGTCTTCCTCCTGTTCCCTGGAATGGGGACAGGGCGACTGTAAGGGATGTGGGTCCTGGAGAACCGCAGAGAACATGTGCTCTCTATATACCTTAACGTCAGAGGCAGCCCCACTTGCCCGGGATCACTTCCCCTCATAAGAGAGACTCCATTCCTTCCTCTGTTCCCAGGCAGGCCCATGCCCTCCACAGCCTCGCCATCCAACAGTGACCTGGGGATAACAGGCCACCTGCTCTGACACTGGCTAAACTGTTGGGGTCACACAAAGGCTGACCCTGTGATACAGGCCTCATTTGACATGAGACAGTCGAACAAGCCAAGCATAAGCAAGCACACATCCTTTTCCGACTTAGATACTACTAACTGGCTCAGGCTCCTGCCACACCCAGAACCATGGGGAAGATTTGAAACTACCAGAAGACACTCAGCCAGGCACTTGGTTAAAATTAAATACTAAGCTGGGCTTGATGGTGCAGGCTTGTCATACCAACTACCTGGAAGTCTGGGGCAGGACAATTGAGTTCAAAGCCTACCTGGGCCAAAGAGTGAGTTCAAGGCTTGCCTGGGCAACTTAGTAAGAACATGTCTCAAAATAAAGAACAGTGCTGGAGCTATAACACAACACTAGAATCCCCCAGTGAGGGGCTGGGGTGTGGCTAAGTGGTAGAGCCCCTGCCTAGAATCCCCCAGTGAGGCATTAGGGGACAGTGGCAGAGATGGCTCGGCAGTTAAGAGTGCTTACTCCTCTTGCAGAAGACCGACAGTCAGTCCCACACGGCAGCTCACAACCACCTGTAACTACAGTCCCAGGGAGATCTGATGCCCCCTTCTGGCCTTCATAGCGGTGGTACACACGTGGTACACATAAATTCTTTCAGGAACATAAATACACATATGAAATAGTCAATAAACACACCTTTTATTTTAAAAAAACATGCTAGGCTCACTGTTCAAGTCTGCGGACTTTTAACCACTCGCGGCTGTCACACATTTCATGAAAGAAATGGGCCATTTCTTTCATGAGCTGGGCTGGGCAGTGCCGTAAGAAGAAGCCCCATAGGAGGACTAGCCTCCCCAACCCTGAATCCTCTTGTGTAATATACCCTGGGTTTCACTAAGTAAAAGACAACCTGCCAGCTAGGAGCAGCTCTGACCCCAGTCTACCCTCCCCAGGTCCCTTGTCCCTCACCGGAGCCGATCCTCATCCAGGAAGTCAACGATGTCACTTCGGTCATTCACGGTGTTCACATATTGGCTCAACAGCTCCTGTTCCCGCTGGCGGTCCTGGGGGGACTTCAGACCCTCTGTGGAGACAGCCTGCCATTAGTAGAAGCTCCATTCTGTTCAGAGACAGAAGAGCCCCAACGCCTGTGTTGCTCTCCTCCGTTGGAAAATATAGAGTGTAATCAGCCCATGGAGGTGTGGCCAGCCATTGGGGGTGTGGCCAGCCATTGGAGGTGTGGCCAGCCATTGGGGGTGTGGCCAGCCAGTAGAAGTGTGGCCAGCCATTTAGAGGCATGGAAAGCTTACGGAGTGGACCAGATCAAGGAACGAGCCCCCAAGTGTGGGGCCTGTGGTCTCTATGTCTTTACTATGAAAGGCTGAGGCAGGGGTCCTACAGCCAGGAGGATGTGGTGGGAAGGCTCTTCCTATTACTTAAACCACCCCTCTCATGTTATCCCCTTGGAGGACCTGACACTAGCTGTTGGGGCATAAGGGGAGCACACCGCAATGCCCCTACTTTGAAGAGTATCACACTCAGGCATAGAACAGCTAAGGCATTCGTCTGAGGTCACACAGCCAGAACCACAGGAACAAAAGCCATAAGCCTTGTGGCTGAGTCACAACCATATCACCACTGGACTCTCACAGGTCAGGGCAGAGCAGGCGGGGAAGCTGGCACACAGGCGGATGGCTCTCGGGCCAGGCTTGCTGGGGACAGACACGCACCTGGCTTGTCCATCAGTCTGCGCAGCTCACCCTGGAGATCCAGCTGCCGCTCCTCCAGGCGCTGGTCTTTGGACCTACAGGGTGCACATGTCTGAGGCTCAGCCTGACCAGGATGTCCCAACCACATCCACCAGGTAGTCCAGGCAGGGCACCACAAGGCTCGGGGGGCTCACTTGTACATGAGTTCCGATTCAAGTCTCAGCAGCAGCTGCTTCTCATGGATAAGACGGAACCAGTCCACCATGAGGCCATCCTCAGAAGCATCTGTGGAGAGACACAGCTGGGGTAAGGAAAGCCGCAGAGAGCCTGGTACACTCGTACAGAGGGGCAGGCCTGGAATCGTATGAAAGCTAGCTGGCGGTACCCAGGGGAGCCTGCAGCCAGCCTGGGCATGACCAGTCTGCAGCTAGTGTGGGATGGAGCCAGCCTTTAACAGTAAGGTCAGCATCCAGCAAGGATGGCCAACCAATGTGGCCAAGGCCATTCAGTGTAGGTAAGGCCAGCCTATGGGAATATGACTTGCCAACAGGGGTATGGCCAGCTCATGGGCGTGGCCAACTATAGAGTATAATCAGCCCATGGAGGTGTGGCCAGCCCTTGGGGTGTGGTCAACCATTGGGGGTGTGGCCAGCCATTTAGAGGCATGGGAAGCTGACAAAGTGTGCCCATCAACTGGGCATGGCCACTGGCAGGGGCATGCCCCAAGCTGCTCACCTCCCTCAGCTGCCCGCAGCCGCTTCTCCAACTCAACACCCCTGAGCTCCAGGGCGTCCAATTGACTCTCAATGTCCTTCAGCTGTCTCTGCAGCTCCTCCTGGGGGATATAGCTGGGGTGCAGCTGGAGGACCAATGAACAGTGAGTACAAGCAGAGGGCCAAGGCCCAGCTGCCTCCCCATGCCCGTCTTACTCACCCTGACTGGGGAGGTCGCAGCCTCACCAGGTGGAGCAAGGTCCAGGATTGCAGACCTCTCTGGAAAACAGATAACCTGGATGTGGCTTGGACATGGCTTGAACACAGCCTGACCCCTATGTTCTAGGCTGTGAACCCCAGCAGGGTTGCCCCCTCCAAACAGAATGGCACCCCTAGAACTGACCTGTTGTCCCCCAGGTGGGTGTCTTCTCCTCCTCACCGCTCCTGGTCCGATCTTCCTGGTTCTTGAGATCTGGCTGGAGCCAATCAGCAGAGACATCGAGGCTGGGAGAGACAGGCAGTCTCTTGCGGCATGATGGAGAAGGAGAGGGGGCTGCCAGCACAAAGGTGGGTGGAGGTGAAGACATGTGTCAAGCCTGCTGGCCTAAGCCCTGACACTGAGTGGAGCCAGAGCTCTAAGTCTCTACTGTCCCAGGACAGCCAGTGTCACCGTGCCTCCCAAGGTAGCACCCTGTCCTGCCCAGACTGGCCATGTCCTCCCAGGGAGGCAGCATCCAACAGATCCACAAAGCCAGTGCTGCCAACATCACATAGTGTGACCCTGGAAGGGGCCCATAGATGGCATATAACGCAATATGTATGTGTTTACAGGCACATGTAAACATGCATATACGTACATGCATCCATGCCTGACTCATACCTACACATATATTCAGACTATGCCTGAACATGCCTCACACACATATATCCCATGCATGAACATACACGTACACACATACAGAACATGCCTTGCACACGTACATTCTATGTCTGAACACACATGTGCACATATACAGACCACACCTGAACATACCTCATATACATACATCCCATGAATACATGAGTGCCCATTTATCCAGCGTGTGACAACACACATGCACACATACCTTATTATACCTACACATGTATGTACTTGTTGATACCCCATATCCAAATAGGTATGCATACATAAATCCTGTGTCTGAACATGTATGCACATGCATGCCCACAGACATGTCTCACACATGATCATATGTATGCACATACATACTTTGTGCCTGAATACATGGATGCACATTAAACCCATCCAGGAACACACATGCATACACATGCATACCCTTCGTAAACACCCCCTCTGGCTGAGCAGGGCCTCTGCCTGACTCCAGTTGGAATACATACAAGAACATGCCTGAGTTCCCACAAGCATTACCTGCAAGGCTGGGCCCGGGCCTAGCCAAGCATACTCTCCTCTTGTGCTGAACGGAAGTCAAGACAATATGGATACTGGAGTCAGAACTACCGGAGGCTTCCCTGGAAGTGTCCCCTGCCCTCGGCTCTGCCAGGCCTGGCTCTTTTTGCTCCAGAGACCTGGGTGGAAGATAAAGTTAAGTCACAGCCCAGATGGGGACAGCCAGGAGTCTGTCTCAAAGCCATATGCCTATGTCCAAGGTCCTCATGGTCTGAAGGAAGCCACCTGGCCAGTCCTGCATCATCCTGGCCTCTAATCAGGACCTCCCTGCTTCCACCCCTAGGGCACAGGGCTCTGGGTCTCCACATGCTCCTTGTGAGGGCAGGATACCTCAGGCTTACAGGGACCAGCTACACTGACACCCACCCCAAGCCAGGCTCATGCAAGCTCCCTGGCGTGACACACCTGCTACCCAGGATTCACCATATCCATTAAGTCATTCAACTGAGATGTCCCTGTCACCCTGTCTCCATCACCTGGAAGGTGAAGGGTCCCAGAGTATCAAGCTAGTGTGACCCAACTTTTTCTACAGATACTAAAAGGTCCAAGCCAGCCAGAGCTTTGTCAATTCCCACGTGTACACTGCCATGCTCCCACACACACTTAATTAGGCACCTGCTGTGTGCTGGCTCAGCGCATCCTGCAGACCCACAGGCACAGGTGTGGCCCTGCCACTGAGCCCAACCCCTGCTCACCTCCTGGCAGGGTTTTTCTTATCCACAGGCTTCAGCCGGGCCCTCCATCCTTCTGGCCCCTCCTCTTGGCCTTCCTGAGAGGTGGGGCTTGGACCTGAGGGTAGGAAACAGATTGAGCAGGTGAGACAGCTTGAGACATCTCTTTATAGCCAACTGCATCCTTTGACACCCCCAGAGCCAGCTCACCACACAGGACCGAAGAGGGGCTCCTAGCCCGGCTACTGTATTGTGTACCCCTGAGGGAATCACTACCCCTTTCTGGGCCTCAATTTCCAATCTGTCAGATGGGTATTGACACAGAAGGGAAGCCCTGTGGACTGGCTCTCTGATGTGTGGTGTGATGAGGAATGACTAGGTGTGGCTACCTCTCCGTAGTCATGTTAGCTCACACCTAAGATTGGAGTCAACAGGAAATTCCGTCAAAGGGAAAGTTGCAGAAAGACCCCATTGTGGTGCATCTTGAGCCCCACTTCCCCAGACATCCACAGAAAAGGCAGAGGCATGCAGAGCGGGTTGTCCTAGACAGGGCCTCGTTCTGCACCCTGGGGACACAGCTAAGGACAGAAAGCACAGTGGCCTAGGCTTAGATATGAATCTGGGACAAGGGTCATGATGTGACCCTGGGAACACTGGCCACAGCCACGTAGGGGCAGCAGATGAAGACCCGTAGAGAACTATGGGTCTGGAGAGCTGAGCCAAACAACAGCAGACACCCAGAAGACCTTTCAGAGAGACATACAGCGACACTTGTGGAGCGGCAGACCCCAGAGACACCATCCCATAGCCGGGAGCCTCACCCTTGACAACTGCCACCTCTGCTTGTGGCCTGGAGCCAGCGCCGGTCTTACCAACCCCTGGAGAAACACCGGGGCTCTTTTTGCCAGCCTGGAGTGATACAGACGTCCATGGGGTATTGCCCATACTCGGTGGGGCTGTGGGCTCCATCTTTGAAGCAGGACTAAGGGCCTGGGTGGTTGAACGTGATAGCTTGGCCGAGGGACCTTTGTGTGGCACTTCATCCTTGGGCAGGGTGATCAGGACAGAGGAAGTGGCTGGGGAGGACCTGTCGGGAAGGGAGTGGGCATCAGGTATGGGCCAACCCAGGAGTTACACACACCCCCAAGAAGCCAGTTTTCACAGTGACCTCAATGAGCGGTGGACAATCTACCCTAGGACAAATGGCCCAGAGTGCCTGCTTGTGGCACTTACATGTGCTGCTAGGCTGTTTTATACTACCAAATCCGGTGTCCACCGGGATTAAAATATTCCCCAAATATATAACACATGGGGTGCCAGCTGAAGCACTGTGGACGGCCCTGCCTGGAGCCCCAGGCCGGTCTGCATTTGCCCAGCTCAGTGCTAAGTCACTCATAGGCTGAATAGTCTAGCCAGGCACCAGCCCCTGCCTGGGATGCACGGCTCTGGACTACCTGAATCCCCTGAGGTAACACACATGCAGGTACACAGAGCCTAGGTCACACATGGCACCGTTCCAAGCTCTGCCAAGCCTACTCTGCAGAGCCTTTTACCACAGCCCAAGAACAGCAGCCTCTGATCTCCCCCTCACCCTAGAACCAGCTCAGGAGCCTCTGGGCACCAAATGGGAATGGGTTCAGGCAGTTACAAACCAGCAATGTCCCACCTGGAAATCAAGGACCAACTCAGCTCACTAGACTAGTACTTGGACTAAGTGGGATACCCAAAAACTCACATCTGCTGAGGAGTTGCTAGAGATCTTGAGGTGTGATCTTTTTTTATAAGTGGCGGTGCATGCCTTTAATCCCAGTGCTCAGGAAGCAGAGGCAGGCCAATCTCTAAATTGGGGGCTAGCCTGGTCTACAGAGTGAGTTCCAGGATGGCCAGGGCTACACATATATAGAAGCCTTGTCTCAAAAAACCCAAAAGTGGGTGGATAGGATCAGTAGATGTGACTACATTATAACACAGTCACACTAGAGTACGGTGATCACACTCACAACACTAATGTTACAAGAGACCAACAATGCAGGTGTGACGGTGCACACCTGAAATCCCAGCACTGGGGAAGGGGAAGCAAGGGGAACTGGAGTTGACGGTCATCATGTAAATTAGAGGGCTGGGATACAGAAGACCTTGTCTCAGAAACACCAGGACTGGGCTGGCAAGATGGCTCAATGGATAGAAGCACTTGCCCTGAGAGCCCGACAACCTGAATTCAATCCCCAGAACCCACACAAAGGTGGAAGGAAAAACTGACTCCATAAAATTGTTCTCTAACCTCCACCCAGACATTGTGACATGTCCTCCCCCAACACACATCATACAGAATTTTTAAAGAGACCTGGAGTGTGGCTCAGTGGTAGAGCCCCTGCCTAGAATCCCCCAGTGAGGGGCT